AATCTCCTCCTGTACCAGTCAGATCTGATTTGATGGTACACTCAAAAAAATAATGAAATAAAATAAATTTTTAAAAAAGAGCTGTAGCTTTAGAAACAGGATAGAGGGTCAGCCGGGGTCCTGATCGAGTGGACCGCAGCGGTGGAGGTGCTGTGAGATGCAAATGACCCTCACCTTTGGAGGACATAAAGTGTGGTGTTTATTGAGTAAAGCATTGGGATTCTGTCTTTTCAGGCCAAGAAGGCTCAGGTCCTAGAAACTTCTCCTGTGTCCTCTACAACGCCAACTCCATGAACTGCAGTTGGAAGCCAGGCCCCACAGCCCCGGCCAGTGTCCAGTACCGCCTGGACGTCTGGACCAAGATGTACAGACGGTGGACCCCTGGGTGAGGGGGTCAGGGAAGGTGGGGTCACCTCCTCTCAGAGTCTTCCTCTCACAGAGCTTGCCGTGTTGCAGGTCAGAGGAGGAGGAGGACATGGCCGAGTGTCCCCAGTACGTGGAGGACTCGGCCGGCCGGCAGGTGGGCTGTCACTTCCCCCAGCTCTCCCAGCTGACCAGCCGGCAGTTTCATTTCTTCCTGAATGGGTCCAGCCCGGAGGCGGCCATTCCCTTCCTGGATACCCTGGGGTTGTACGAGTATCAGTTGGGTAAGTGAGAGAGGGAGGGAGGGAGTGCTCTCAGCTGCTGGCTGGGTGGGTGGGGAGTTCAAATCCATCCAAAAGTCCTGCAAGAATGACAGACAGCCTGACACACTCCTTTCAGCCACACAGTTCCCCCTCCCCCAGCACCCAAAGGGGTCCACTCTGGTCCATACGGGGCCGGATGGGACTCAGCTTCCTTAGAGGATGCAGCTGGGTTAGAAATCGAGTCTTCCCAGAAGTGTAGAGGAAGAAATACCTGGTGATTTGTTGCTGGGCGTCGTTGGGGAGGTGCCAGGAATCCATTCTCCTTTCCCACCAGGTAAGATGGTTCTGAAGCAGCATGGACCTCAGGTGGTGACGCCAAGTGTCAGCTAAGAGCTTTCCCTGGAAACTTTCATTGCAATGCCATCAGGGACAGGGATGGATACAGCAGATGTCACAATGTAACAATGTGTCTCAGAAATTAGGAGATTGGTGCAGATGGGGCAGGGATCAGATCTGTCCTTTACAGAGCTGTAATGAGTTGTAATCAACTTAACAGCATCAAACAGCACTAAGAATAGTGTTCCAGGTGCAACCACTGTGGAAGGCGGTGTGGTGCTTTCTCAAAAAGTTGCAAAGAGAGATACCATTTGACCCAGCAATTCCACTACTGGGAATATACCCCCCAAAAAGACCATAACTGACATCCAAGCAGATATATGCACGCCCATGTTTATCACAGCTTTGTTCACCATAGCAAGGAGTTGGAAACAACCCAAGTGCCCATCAACAAACAAATGGATAGAGAAGCTGTGGTCTAGTCACACAATGGAATACTATACAGCACTGAAAAACAAGGAACTCATGCCATATTATTAAAAAATGGGTGACCCTGGAGGACATTATGCTGAGCAAAGTATCTCAGTCACAAAAGGACAAATACTGCATGGTGCCACTGTTGAAAAACAGGACTGACCTCAGGGTTGGGGGGGACTGTGAAAGATGGGATCAATAATGTAGACTGCATTGAAACAGTTAAGGGAGAAAACTGTTAAAAAGGGATGTGTGTAAAAAAGGGGGGGAAAGCGATGTGATGTCATGACAGGAGTCCAGAGAGAAGGCTGCATAGTGGAGTGGACCTGGGGGGAGGGATTGCATAACAATGAAAGAATTTTTCTTTTCTTTTTCAACATGAAGAGTGTACTGGGGGGTGGGGGGTGGGCAGGGAGAAAAGTGCAACAATGAATGAATGGACATCCAAAATTTTACTTAAAATTCATTTAAAAAATGATTTTTTAAAAAAATAGTGTTCCCCCAGAGATATGTGGTTCAAATCCACCAGATGCTCTGCTGGAAAAGGAGGGGCAATCTCCTCCTGTACCTATCGGATCTGATTTGACAGTACAGACACACACAAAATAATAAAATAAAATAAAATAAAAAATAGTGTTCCAAAAAGCAAAGACCTATAATGATGAAATAACATCTAGCTTAGAATAGCACAGGGTGAGAGAAGAGAAAACCTCGCAGGAAGATGGATACAGTGACTGTAATAATATAACAATGTATTTCAGACGCAATGATGGTGGTAGGTGTATAAGGCAGAGTTCAAAACTGTCCTTTCCTGGGTCCCTGTGTGTCATAGTTGATTTGATGACACCAGGTAACTAACACCCACTATCCTCCTTCTCTTCTGATGTGTGACTCCCCCACTCTATCCCTCTCTCTCCGCAGAGAAGTACAATCCTCCCAGGAACATCACCATTCACTACAACGGCTCAAATTACATCATCCGGTGGGCGAATCCCCCGAGAAGACTGGAATCCACGGGTGCTCATATATTGCAGTATGAACTGGACATCCGCAGACAGGTGAGGACACAAATACCCTTTGTGAGGGCTGGTTGTTGTTGTGTTACATGACTTCCATTTTTCCACCATTCCCAACTCCCCTGGGCCTCTTACCGTGCCCCTTTTGAACATTTATAAATATCTCACTCAGTTATCTTTCTATTTTTGTAATTTTATAACACGCATGACTCTTGATCTGTGGCTTTTTAGGCCCGTATCTCATCCAGCCCCTGATTGCTTGCACAGAGGGAGAAAGAGAGAGAGAAGGAATCATTCCTTTAAAATGAAAATCCAGCAGTTCCCACAGTATCTGCTGGACACACTTGTTCACTGTGCTTTGAACAGGCTTGGCCTCCTCTCTGGATACCCGCTGACCGGCCTGTAGTGGTGGGTGGGCATTCCAGGACATCAGTCTGTGTCCTCTGTCTCTATGATGTCATGCTGTTTTGATGACCGTATCTCTGCAGCATATTCTGGCAGCAGGACATGATACTGCTGCTTTTTTTCCTTCCTCGATGTCCTCTGCATGTCCATGGTAATTCAGGGTCAGTGTGGCCACTTCTGTGTGCCTGGGTGTGGGTCCAAGAAACTGCATTGTAGGTGGCCTCCTCTCTGGCCTTCACACAACTGACCCCAAGACAGTGTCCTCAGATCGTTAGCACACAAGTGACCTCCCAGCACTCATGCAGGTGACTCCACCAGGTGGCCTGGTATAGGTGACCTCCCATAGCTAACAGCACTCAGGTGAGCTTGCACAGGTGAGCTCAGGTAAGATGAGGAAGAGATGTCCTTGCAGCCCTTACACAGGTGACCTCCCAGCACTCAGCTCAGTGACTTCTCACAGGTGACCTTGTACAGATGAACCCACACAATGAAACGTCTCAGGTGACTTCGCACAGGTGAGCTCAGGTGAGATGAGGAAGAGATGTCCTTGTGGCCCTTCCACAAGTTACCTCCTAGCACTCATCTCAGTGACTTCTTACAGATGACTTTGTACAGGTGAACTCACACAGGTAACACTTATCAGGTAACTTCCTACAGGTGAGCTCAGGTGAGATGAGGAGGAAGGGTCCTTGTGGCCCTGACCTCCCAGCAGTCATCTCAGAGACTTCTCACAGGTGACCTTGTATAGGGGAACCCACACAGGTAACACTTCTCAGGTGACTTCACACAGGTGAGCTCAGGTGAGATGAGGAGAAGGTGGCCTTGGAGCCCTCACACAGGTGACCTCCCAGCACTCATGCAGATGAATGCACAGAGGGGGCCTCGTACAGGTGACCTCACATAGGTGACAGCACTCAGGCGACCCCTCGCAGGTGAGCTCGCGTGAGATGAGAAGGAGGTGTCCTTGCAGCCTTCACACAGGTGACCCTCACAACACTCATCTCAGTGACTTCTCACAGGTGACCTTGTACAGGTGAACCCATACAGGTAACACTTCTCAGGTGACCTCGTACAGGTGAGCTCAGGTGAGATGAGGAAGAAGTGGCCCTGCGGCCCTCACACAGGTGACCTCCCGGCACTCATTCTAGTGACCACATGCAGGTGGTATCGGGAAGGTATCCTCACAGCAATCAGAGGTGAGCTTGCACAGGTGACGTCCAACTTGAGCTCACAGAAGTGACATCTTTCTGAGGCCCTCACGGTTCCCACAGACCTGACTCCACAGGTAACCTCACTCAGGTGACCTTATAATCCTCACAAGGTGTAGCGTGTGAACAATCACATCGAGGGTCTTCCTCTCTCTCTGTCTCTGACCCTCCATCGTCCCCAGCAGGATGTCCTTCTCCGAGGACTGACCACCCCCTGACCACACACCCCAAGCATGTGAGACCAAGTGTTCCCATCCTGACCGTCAACCCCACAGTTCAAAGGCCTCATTCTTCTGTCCTTCTTCACAGTCCAACTTCCAGATGCACAGTGAAGAATTGGAAATATCACAGCTTAGGTCCCGTATAATTCACCAGCACAAAAATCAATAACCTCCTTGATCTTCCCAATGCCTCATCAATATTCCCAAAACAGCCCTTCCCAACCAAAGACTCCCAGACGTGTGCCCTGGATGTCCTGCTCACAACCCCACAAGCTCATCTGTTCTCTCTTCTTCTTCTAGGGCAGGTCCCAGGAACCTGTAAGTATGCATTTTATATTGTTTTTCTTTGCTCTGCAATATTCTCTCTTTTCTCGTAAAATGCCTTGATCGCTTGGAAAAAGGGGGTAGCATTCTCTAACCCCACATCTGTGAGCTGTTCTCACCATATGTCGTGCCGAGAAAAAGACGTGTAACTTCTCCAAGTTCCTAATTTCCCAGCCTTGTGCTGACATGAAGACCACAAGGAGGAGGTGGCTTTAACAAACCAGATGTTTCTTTTTCTCACCAAAATGTCATTGACTGCAAGCCCTCGTCGTGACCTTAAGAACCACAGATCTGAACCCTTCATCTCTATCCTGGGTCACCCTTGTCGTGTCTGATATGCTGAATCCCTGTGTCCATTCATCTGGTGGACGGTCTTCCTCTCTGTCTCTGACCACCTCGCATGATGTCCTTCTCCAAGGACTGACCCCTCCTGGCCACTTGTCCAAAGTATATGAGACCACGTCTCCGCTTTCTTGGCTCTAAGGCCTGGTTGCACTAATTTCCAAAAACTAGATATTTGTGTCTTTTTTTAAAAAACCAACAATTAAGAGGCACTCGTTTTTCTGCATTTGAACCAGGGTCAAATGGGTCAGGGGATTGATGGATGCATGCATGCACACCTGTTACCATTTCATTCCAACAGAAAAGACAACTGTATGTCTCAGAGGGGTTCCAGGCACTCTTTGGGGGGGCCATACAATTTATGGCATTTTTTTAGGGTGAGGGTAAGAGGACAGACTTCAGCTCCTAACAGAGTCAGATCCCAGCAAAGACCCTTCTGCAAACACAGCTCTCTGGTACCTGTACGTAACCCGCAGGGAGCGCGTGTGTCCACCACAGGGAGACGCACTCAGCGGTCGATCAGGTGTGAGGTGAGGGCGGGGTGCTTGGAAAGGGCTGTGCATGTAAGTGGGGGGTTGGGGCACCCGGGGTAGGCCAGGGTTCTGGCTCCAGCTGTGGGTGGACATGTCCAACCTGGAGGCCAGGTGGACAGAGGGCTCCGGGCACTTAGGAGGAGAGGGAGTTGGCTAGGTAAAAGGGGCTTAGGGTGGGGTCCTGGATGAAAAAACTTCAGAGCCATAATAATATTAGTAAAAAAAAACCACAAAACCTCTCTTTTCTGAATTGTGGTCCAAATATAGTCATTTAGGGATTAAGAATTCAGTCTCTTCTGGAGGATATATTCAGCCTTGACCAAGGGAAGATACAACATAGAAAAAAAGAAGAGTCGTTTTGCCTCAGTTCCCCTGTTTAGTTTTTCCTTTGAAATATGTCTACTGGCACCATGGGTAAACATCTCAAAAGGTCAGTGGTTCAAACCCACTGGCCACTCCAAGGGAGAAAGCTGAGGCCATCTGCTTCTGGAAAGATTCACAGCCTCGGAGACCCCATGGGGCAGCTCTGCTCTGTGATACAAGGTTGCTGGGAGTCAGACATAAATGAATCCCAGCTGGTGACACTGTCTCTCACGCCTGGTCCACTTTAGGAGAGACCTGCCTTCCCTCCACACAGTGTATGCACAGTGACACACAGAGGCTACTAGAGAGATACTATGTATCTAGACTCTCAGGAGAG